TTTACATTTCAGCGGTAAGTGGATTTGATTTACGCGATTAATTCAATGCTTCCACTTGCATTAGGTTTGGTGGTGCCACCAGCGCCATCTGAGGAGTGATAGTTATAAAGTTTATGTTTTTTAAATTTGAGTTTTATTGTGAGAGATGGGTTGTTGTTGTTGTGCCACGGTGATTTTGTGACCCTCGCATTTCTTATCCTCGGCTCTCGGAGGTCCGAAGCCGAAATATGCGCGCACGGTGTTTTCATAACGGGAATTTAGCGCGCTCGCGCGCATTTACATATTTATTGCGACGTAATGCAATGTTATGCAAAATCATACGGACGCGTTGCGCCATAAATTGCAGAAGAGTGCGAGGAGGTGCGCGAATTTATTACACTCTCGTACAATACACCAAAATAAAAATAATACAAAGAAAGAAAAACACAGAAGACATAATTTACACTTGCAGAAAAAGTTAAATTTCTACTGTTATGCCAACGCCGTAGGTGATAAAATTGAATAGCACTCATGTGAGGTTAGTTTTCGTTCGCGCACATTTTTCATTAAAAGATACCGCGTCATTTCCGACGCGAACTTGTAACACTAAATATTAGCTGTATTTTTGAGTTTGTTGAGTTTGAGTCGCGTTGGATCCGCGCTCGGTGCGCGGTAGCGACAAGATAAATACACGTGTCAAAATTTCAATTTCCGAAGCTGCAAGCTCGAACTCATTCGAAACACATTCATTCCGCGTGACGGCACTGCACACGCTTGTGGGATTCACACAGTGCAGTGTATACGTTGTCAGTACACTACGATACAGCGCGCTGTATGCAAAGTATATGCTAGTCGACATAAATTCATAGGTGGGACGTATCAAGCCGATCAACAATTACATCCAGACGTGTATCAATTTATATGCATATTATATATGCAGACGGTACGTGCGAAACTCTCAGCCGTGGGGAAACCGACGTCAGAAAGTGATATTTAAGTGTTGGAACATAATGTAAATCAATACCACTACAATGGTGTCGTAAACTAACGCCATCTATGATAAAATAGCTGAAAATCATTTGTTTTCTTTTTGGTGTAATATTTTAACATAAAATACGCATTACGCAGTTCATAAATAAACGCGTGAAACAAACGCATTTCTTAGCCTTATAAATGTATTTGGGTGCTTGAATGAATGGCACACGAATGCAGAGAAAAAATAAATTATAAATAAAAGGGTAATGAATCTTCTTAAACGATGTGCGACACAAAGCGCGCCGAGCGCCGCAATTGAAGTGAAGATGCTCACAACTCAGAGAAAAGCAACAAAAACACACACACACGCACGCAGAGGGTGTGAAAAATGATTTAAGTGAGTGTCTAATGCGAGCAGACTTCGACTGCTACATCAACATTTGTTGCGCTATACATTATGTTCACACTTTTATAAAAATCCAAAAAAATCAGTTTTTTGAGCTTTTAGTCTAACCACGAAAAGCATGACTTGATGTGACACCCTTTTCCACCACACAACAACTGCTACTCTCACAAGGCGCGTTAAAGACATTAATATCTGCTCTAATATTAACATATGTCGAGCATTCCCGGCTTTCAAAAGCTCCAGTCATAGTTGGCGTTGAATTGAGTGTTCGAACGTGTTGGTAATATTTCTTCTCTTGCGCGCAGTAACCGAAAAGATGAGCAGGGAAAATGTTATGAGTTGTTTTGGACGCCGAAAAAATAAACGAGTATGTTTGGGAAGTCAAGCCGCATCAGGATTACAGGATTACAAGACTTGTATGATGAGACTCATAAAATTAAACGGTTTAATGGCTTAATGTTCAGAGTAAGCACTTACTCGTACAACTCGTAATTTTTCGTTTTAATTCAAAGTTTTAATTAATACAAAACATGATATTCAGTAACGCCATCTATTTTAAAAAGTTCAAAACATTTTTGAGTTTTTGGTTATTCAGACACGTGTGTGACACAGTTTTGTGCGAGTTATCACCATGATAAGTGCAGTCGCAATTTACCGCCGTCATTTAGGCGATTTAATGCAAACCGCGCAAATTTTCGCCACTATCCGCGACAGTTCTGACGAATGTGACGCCATCTGCCGACAAATCTACTATATCACTGCGCGCGGCCAGCAGCAACATGATAATGAAGTTAATTATCTACTTCACAACGTAACAAACGGTTATTTCCGAATAAATCCGCCGTGAATATGTTCCGAATATCTGTTTCCACGTTAATTAATTACGCCGGACAGCTAGTTAAGGTTTTATTAAGAATATAACCAAATAAAATGCAGTTCGTATTCATTTAGTAAATAGTTTTCATGACGAATGCGCGTACTTCTATTTATGTGGCTTTCTTAATTAATTGCCACGATTTTACGATTTTCTTACGAGCGCGACTTGTATCTGTAGATGTAGTAGTCATAACTTATGACTTATGACTTTATTTCGAGCTTCGCATAGAACTGGTCCGTGCTTTTTTCCATCCTTTAATTGCCACCGACTCTAATAATTTCGATTTCATAATTCATTAATTCATTAAGCGAATTAAACGCGCGCCGCCGACGAGGCGACGATGGCGCAAGTTTCATGATCGTAACTTTGCGCTAATTAAAATCGTTTGCGACGAATATCATGTTGAAAAGTTTAAATTTTACAGAACCGCATCTGTAGTTTTATCCACATCAAAAAAGTCATAACAATCTAAAGTTAATTATAAATTAAACTAATAGTGCGGTACTTAAGAAAGGGATGTCGTTACAAGTTCCTCGAAGAACCGTTCATAAATTTTTAATTAATGACTTTAAGGTGGTCGTGAGTTTGCGCCAAGGTGCAAACGATCGGAGACGAAACAAAATTGAAAAATCCACAGTAATTACACATTGACAATTTATTAAGGCGGAATTTGTTATAGCAAACGACTCGAATTCCAGTCCGCAGGAAGACATAGAATAGTTGAGCAATTAATTGGAATCTATGAAAAATCGATTTAATTAAAAACGAAATTCTTTCCACATTCGAACGAATTGAAATTAATTGCTGTCAATATAGAAATTACTTAAGGAAATGGCTTCATTTGTAATTTACTCAAACTTATTTTATTTTATTTTAATATAGATACAAAAAGTCGAAATTGGTTGAAGTGACAGTTCGTATGTGACGCGTTTCTATAGCATGCGCTGAAATCAAAGAATCAAAGAAAGCAGAGGAAGACCATAAAACGTGAGCGGTGACAGGACGGGGCGCGCGCTTCTGTTGCGCTCGCGACGGTGAATTGTTTTCCGATTCAAATGCGAGACAATCATCGGACGGACGTTGATCGAATGCCGTCGAACGTAAAAAATCTCTTTAAATATCCGACGAGCCAAAGACCGTCCAACAGATCTTCTTGTGTCCTTCATTCTTATTCATTGGGGGCTTCAAGTTGTGAGGAAAATGCGGAATTTTTGGTTTTGTTACAAAATTTCTGAATTTGAATTTGAAATCGGAAACTTTTTTTTTTGTTAAGTTGGGAAAAAAATTCCTAAGAAACAAAGTGATTGTGAATTCATGCAACGTTCGATTGTTCCCTAAAAGACAATGGAGGAGACTTGGCGGTGAAGCAAAAAAACCTAATTGGTTCTTAAATAATTGCTGCCGGCTTTCGGAAAAACTCAAACGATATACAATGAATTCAATTTTTATTTAATATTATTAAGAAAGTTGTGCCTCCACAGTCTGCCGACCACTGATTTTATGTCGTTGGTGTTTTAGCCTCGGCTAGCATTTCCATTTTGATTTTCATTTTCAACCGAGCGCAATGAGTTTTAGTGAAATTTCGTGCAACACATGCGGAAGCCATTCCGAAACGAAACCAAACGAATAACCCGTGCCCGTCCGAAAACTCACTCACTCAACGCGCGCGCAGACGTTTCGGAAACGTTCCAGAAACCTTGCGAACGTTGCGCATAATTTAAATCCGAATCTAAATCGAGCTCCGGCTTGGGATTCACTTTAAATTAAACGCGCAGTGCATCATAACCGCGCAGAGGAAGTTGAAATAATAAAAACATCAACAAACCGAATAAAATCTCTTACTACCGCTGGGAAAAAATAACATTTTCTGATTTTCTGATTAAAATAACAAATTTTCTTGTTTGACTTTAAGATTTCTCCTCGGGAGCAGATGTTTCTAGTGGAATTTTGCGCAAAATGTTGAGGCCATTTCCAGACGTATACATTTAGCTAGCTTATTTCAGTTATTTGATCAATTATACGTCAAACACAATCGAGGAAATGGACGTCCAGACTGGAGAGGGCGCATTGAAAAGCTGCCGGCGAAAGCAATAAATAACGAGGCGGGCCAATAAGCGAACAAGACGTTAGACGCCAGACGTTAAACGCACGGCACCGAATATTAGACGCACTTGGCCATTTTATTATGACTTTTTATGTTTCTCTATCCCGGCGGGTATATGAAATAAAATTTTTGGTGGAGGAGCGAGCAGCAAACCAAAAAGAGGAAATCAAAAGTACCTAAAAGTAAAAGCACCGGAAACCTGCCGACATTCTCAATTCACCAAATTTGTGATCTTGGGAAATGTTTGCCGATAATAGAATACTTTCAAGGTCTGCTAGGGTAATATTTTAAGTGCAAACTACCGTGCAACCCCTACAGTAACTGCAAGTAATATTTTTTCCTCGGATAATCGAAAACAACGTAATATTATAAATCTTTTAGTTTTTCTGTTTTGTTTTGCACATCTGCCTTTTTGTAGCTTTACATATTCAGATGCTCAACAGAAGCAGTGGTCGATTGTTGGTCGCGAATTGAAGTCAAAGTCGGAGTCGATGTCTTGAAGTTGATGTAGGAGCACACGCTCTCGCCGCATGTGTTCCCGCATCCCGTGTTTCTTCTCCACGCCCGAATAAGGTCGACGCCGGCGGTGCCCCGAAAGATATACGATTCGCCGGTCTGATTTACACACAGCAAGCCTCCGCTCTGCACACTCCACTCACTACCTTGCATGTAATCAACGTGCAACACCATCTGCCTGACGCGTTTAAATATATTCTGATCTGCAACGTTTCACATAAACTCATCTGTTGGATTGCAAGACCCCAACTGAACTTGAGAATCTCAACCAGCGAAACAAAGATCTAGACTTTCATAAAGAGTTTTAAAATGAGGTTATGTTAAATTGGTTGGTCCCATGGGTATAATGACAATTCTCGAGTATTAATTTAAAATGATAAATGACATTGACAATTAGTGCATGTGTTTAACGAGGAATGGATTTGCGAACCCTTCGATGCATATGCAACCCTTTTGTCCAATTTAGATACTTTATCCACTTTGCAAACCCTCTCGCCAAGCACTACGCACTCACCAAACAATAGGGGTGGTAGTCATCTGACGCGTCACATAAATTTTAGCACGTTCCAAGTGTCTGTCAAACTTTGACGAACACTTTTCATCCGACGCTAAACCCCGGACCTTTGGGGAATCCTCCAATTTCCAATCCTACAAATACCAACTTTGGAATGTCTGCCCTCATACCCTCCGGGGTTGCACTCTTGCACGAGCCTGCACAATCCTGCAATCCGATTGAAAATATCAGCGGTGAGTGTGTAATTGCAAAGGGTTGGTCGCTGACTCAAATCCATATGTGCCTTGGGCTGGAATTTTTGACCAGTAGACTATGCAGGATGGGTATTTGCATTTCGAATCTGGGGAATTCCGCGCGAAGGGCTTACGATGCAATTATTCATTATCGCAATGTTTGATCAAACGTGTGTAAGCCCGATGTGTAAGCTCTTGTTTTACAGCTAATTTTGTTGGAGGAGTCGGCGCGCGATGGTAAAGCGGTTTAATGCGCGATTGCCGTGCGGTGGGCGGGCGTGTGTTTTTGACTTTTGGGGTGCATGCCCTGCGATTGGAAAATGGAGTGTTTGCTTTGCAGTTCTTTGATGTTTGCACAGCCAAATGGAGGAGAAAACTCTAACGCTAACAAGCTACTCACACCCTTCAATAGCCAACCCAACTATGTGCATGTAAAAATCTGAAATTGATTACTTTCTTGGCAAAGTTTTCCTAATGCGAAAGTCTCCAAGTGATTTATTTGCGGTTTAATTTACTATATAAGTTATAAGCTTTTGTCTAGTCTTGCTAGTGTTGCTAGTGCTTCTAGTTGTCTTCGGTTATAATGGAAGTAAAGCCTGTGATCCAACTTGTTTGTCAGCAAACCTGACATTAGTGCGACTGTGCGACGCTCATCACGCATTCATCTCGCGAACTCTAATTTGCCACACAAATCCAAGACTTTTCCTCGTCAGCCCTTCACCACTTCCACATCCACAACTCGCGTTCGTTCACAATCAACTATACAACTCCAGTTACTGCTTTTCAGTCGCCCTGCTTCTCATACAGCGCCTACTTCTGTTTCAGATTCGGAAACACCTTAGGGAGTGCGTGTGTTGGCGCCTCGGGAAAGGGTTCGCAAAAGGTCCCCGCTGAAAGTTGGCTAGGAAAAGCTCGCTAAGTGGTTTTCCAACACGTTTTCCATCAAGCGCACCACCCTCGCCATCTCGCATGTAGATGCTGCGAACAGAAGACGCACGTCCGCTCGTCGGCTTCCTCGAAACCCACACACCCTCCACGCACAGCCTGGAATAAAGGAAGAAATGCGTGGGAAGGTAGGAAATAGGAAGGTAGGTCAAACGCACTCATGCCTTCAAGTCTTTCACACAGCCAACTCGGAATTTCGTATGCGTGATGAATATAATGTGTTTTAGTAACTTTGTAAAAGTTTTTGGAATGCAATGAAAACAAAGGATGTTAAAAGCTCTGATTTCATAATAATAGGTATTACATTAAATATTATTTTACCTGAATCCGTCTGCAGCCAGGTTATAAATTAAACAACAAAATGGATACGTAGAAAACAACTGTAAAACATTACTAATGACATTTTTATTCCTTGGACCACAAACATAATTAATAATTTTACGAGTATTTTTCGATAGCTAATCGCTTGCTTTGTTATGGTCGACATTTGCTTGTCCAGACATTTTACGACGCTATATTTTTATATCATTTTTCATGTTCTTCTATCAGTCAAGAATCCGGCTGTGAATGGAAAGCACTAAAGATCACAATATCACAAGCGGGAAGCAACTGTGACACAACACTCAGAAAGCATATTCTAGGCGTGGCTTCCCAAACAACTTCTTACTAAAAGTCTACGACTCGACACAATTCAAAACTAATAATTAAGTTTAAATCGCCTTAGATCTAGCGTTGGGTATCCACTTAATCCGGGCATTTCCTCCCCAAGTTGCTGCACACACACTCACACGCCCTCATGAGTGTTCCACGGGATCATCGCCGACCGGCGCGATACGACCACTTATATCTACAGATAGAAAGCGGTTATAAAATATCTATCTCGTTTCGATATGTAGTCATGCACTCGCGTTACATCCTCGAAGCTTACGCCCGGCTTTGCTAGCGCAATATTTCAATTAAGAAAACCCTCGTACCGTATCGCGCTTTTATTAAGAAGGGATAGGTTATTACGGCATGTTTCCGGTTAATCCACTGAGGAAAATATGAAAATGAACGATATTGAGCTTGGGAACTATCAAAGGGTGATAATATAAACTTAGCTTCATACTAAGTATCTTTACCAGTTAATAAATTAACCAAGTTATTTTCCGTGGATATTTTTGTTTTGTTTTACACTTGTTGTTGGGTGTCGGTGCACTTCAATCATAATACTCGTAGTTTTAGAAGAGGACATTCTGCGGAAGGCCATCCCAGGACACATCTATTGTGCACCTATTGTATTTCCGCCACACAAATTGCACCCCACGTGGGCACAATAGAGCTAACCTGCACAATGGGCACAATGGCGCGTCGCCGGTCTCGCCAAAGCCGCCACTATTCGGAGTAGTATGCACGAACAGGAACTGCGAACATGGATATGGATAGAGGAATATTCATTGAGGTTTCGACGCCGAAGTTTTTGAATTTGAGAAAATTTAATTTCTCTCCTTTTATTATTTATTTGTTTATCTATAATATAAAATGAATAGTAAAATCTGTTGGTAAGCGCATAACTCAACAACGCCTAAACCAATTTGGCAAAATCTTTTTTTATATGTTTGTTAAAGTCCAAGGATGGTTTTACGGCGAGAAAAATTCTAATAATTGCCGGGAAAACCTTAAAGACAGCCCTTTTCTATAGGATAAAAGTTGGCATTGAGATTCAATCATAGTTATAGTTAAATAGTGGAATCCGAGATGGCGCTCTGACGTGCATTATTTGGAATTCTTTATATATTTAATTTGTTTAAAATAAAATTGCGAATCTTATTGATAGAATTGTCACATATTATGTCAAGAGAGAGAGTAAAACGAATTACATTTTTATTAAACACTACCGAAACAAAATCGTGGGCACAGGCTAGTTTAATATAAAATGCATTTAAGTCAACATTTTTGATGATAGAATATTTGCTTGCCCTGTAAATATAAATTTGTATTCATGCCCCGTAATGTTTCCCGCACACCCTTAAAAACCCTCCAGCGTTACGTTCGACACTTCATCTGACACTCCTTTTCTTCCTTTGCCTTGGTTCCTCTCATTTTACTCGTCGTTCGCGAATCCCTCAAGCAAATCTTCTGCGGGGCATTCAAGGTTGTCTCTCGTGCCTTTATTGAAGCGCTCCGAGGCGCGGCGACACTCAACAAACGAACAAAGATAATTCGCGTCATTTAAGTAATTCGATTTTGTGTCACAGCTCTCGGCTCCGGCGAGCCCTAGGCGACGTAAGGGCGAGGCCTCCGCGGATAGCTTTGATGACACCTCTGACACCTTCAAAAGCTCTTATTTTGACAACCTCGGCGAGGGCTTGTATTGATATAACAAAGTGGGCTTAATCAATTAATTAAAGGCTGCGGGCTTGCTAAGTCTAGAGGAAAATATAGCTGTAGGAAGAGGAAAAATCATGAAAGTAGATGACGCTGAAATTCCGAAAATTGTAGATCTTAAAGGTCCCCGGAAGATGTGAAAGATGCAAATGACTCATTGAGGCCAACCTCGCTTGGCAGTATCAATAAAATGAATAGACGTTGAGATGAAGGGATGAAGAGATGAAAGCAAAAAGTAATTGTTTTGTTTGCTTTGAATAAATGCATCGTCGCAAGTCCTTGGAGATGATATCATTTCGGATCTCATTCGGAGATCTCCCCGAGATGAGCAAATCTGCTAAGATCACGTTCAACATCATTTCAACACATCCTCTCGCGCCGAGATGCGAGAAGAAGATAAAAATAATCAAGAAACGCAAGACGACGAGGGAATTCTTTGCCTAAGGTCCAAGTCATGTTTATATCAGTTAATCAGTTAGCAAAAATGTCCCGAGGGAGCAGCCCATGGGATGTCGTCGATGTTTTGACTGGTCTTACTGCAATTAGGCCAGCAAAGTCTAGTAAAGTTCGAGCCAACAGTGCAAACATCCTAGAGGCAACACTAACAAATGCTCGAACAACACGACGATATAATATAATAATAGTAATTTTATTAGTGTCCCGAGTGTCACCAGTGTTGCCATCAAGTGACATGTTGTTCACTTCGACGATTAACTTAATTTTTTACTTAGAAAAATACAAAAAGAATACAATTAATGACTTGGTCATGTTTGAGAAGTAGAAAAAGTCATATATGAAACAATATTGTAGGAAAAATATATTTATATAGAGGTTCTTTTCTGGTGGAAAAAAAATTCAAAAACTGAAAATCATAAAATTTATTTTCATTTTGCAGGGTTTATTTCTCTACCTTTATAAATTTTAAATGGAAAACAATAGGGATTATATTTTACTAGCTTTTGTGAGTGACTTTGTCCGCGTAGATTTTAATAAAAAGTAGTCCCACTAATTAGTTTCTTGTTTCTTGGACCTATTATGTGCGGATACTGTCAAAAAGAAAAATTTCTATTTTATTTTGAAGAAATGTGAAATGTCAATAATTCAGTTTAAAATTT